TTTGACTTTTCTAAACATAATTAAGCATTTTTAGTAATTTTTAGTACTGGATTCAAGTTTTTTCTTAGGACATATCACAATGCTCTGATTCTTCATTGATGTATGAGTTTCTACTGATTAGACTGTGAACTCCCTGAGAACACAGACATTTAAAATTCAGTATTCCAGCATCCAGCACGATTCCTGGAATAGAGGTTTCTGAATGAATAAATATGTAAACAAACAAATGAACATGTAGGATGACATAGAAATTCATTTCACTTGCCTGTAAGGTCACAAGATTCAGAATATGGATTACTATTGTCTGCACACTTTTTTCAAGACAAGTTAATTATTAATTATTATCAGTTTTAAAAATATGGCAAAAATATAGATATAGAGAAGAGATCAGTGGCTGCTAAGGGGAGGGGGAGTGATGAAAATGTTCTACATCACAACTGTGTTGTGGTTATGTGACTATACAAATCTTTCAAAATGCATCAAATTATATACTTGGTAATTTTAATTATATGTAAATTACAGATTAATAAAGCTAACTCAAAATTGTATGAATTCTCAGCAGGAAAGGAGCTTTGACATCCAAAGCCAAGAGAATAATCCAGGTGGCTGTAGTAAAAGAACACAGACCTAATTGTCAAGATACCAGTTTCTAAATCTGGTTCTTCCAGGTTTAGGTGATCTAAAATAAGCTGTTTAACCTCTCTGAGACTCATCCTTCTGCCTCTATTAAATAGAGACAATAATATCTCCTTTGTCCCCCCATAGTGTGGGGCTCCAATGAGATAACAGATGTGGCCGGACTTTGAACAGCTCAACACTTTTGTTATTATGCCCAGAATACATAATCTGTACAGCCAAAATTTAACCAGATTCAGAGCATAGTTTGCCTAGAACTCAGAGTGAAGGGAAACAGACTAGATCCTGAATTCAGAGCTTACCCCAGCTCCTCTGAGGCAATTTCTCCTCATTAATAGATTAATACATTTCCTTTTAAAATATATTATTTTCAGGCTAGACTTAGATGGAAAAGGAGACTGGCCAATTTTAACCTGTGGAAGAAGGTTTGGCCAGCTTCTTGACAGATGACACACAAGGGTTGCAAAATAGAAAACAAATAACTGCGAGAGAGACAAAACAGAACCTTCCCTCAGAGTGCTAGAGGTTTGTCTGGGTGCTGATCTTGCCTCCAGAGTGTCTCCACAAGAGCTTCCTGACTTGGTAAGATGGGGCCATTGCCACAGCAGGTTTTCTTAGCTGAGATCATCAGTTAATGCTCAGCCTACCAAAGCCATAGCCAGCCAAGCTGGTGACCCAAAGGCAGCAAATGATAGGGGTAGTAGAGGCAGAATATGACTAGATCTTTATGCTTTGAGACCTACTGCAGATATCTTGGCATCTTCCTCAAGTGGGGATATGAAGTAAGTATCAGGTCTCTGGGCTTTGGGACACAAGGCCCATCCAGACTGATATCAATCTGCTTTTTGACCTTAACAAAGTCCTTTCTTTTGTTTCAGCTTCATTTCCTCATCTGACAAATGAAGATTACTCAATGTTCTCAGGGTACTTGGGATACACTGATATGATTTGGCTGTGTCAGTAACCAGATCCCATCTTGAATTGTAGCTCCCATAATTCCCACGTCATGGGAGGAAACTAGTGGGAAATAACTGAATCAAGGGGTGGTTTTTCCACCCCTTACTGCTCTTGTGATAGTGAATAAGTCTCATGAGATATGATGGTTTTATAAGGGGTTTCCCCTCTCACATGGCTCTCATTCTGTCTTGTCTGCCACAATGTAAGGTGTGAATTTGCTCCTCCTTTGCCTTCCACTATGATTGTGAGGCCTCCCCAGTCACATAGAACTGTGAGTCCATTAAACCTCTTTCCTCTAAAAATTACCCAGTTGCAGGTATGTCTTTATTAGCAGTATGAGAACAAAATAATACAGTAAATTGGTACTAGTAGAGTGGGGTGCTGCTGTAAAGATATCAAAAAATGTGGAAGTGACTTTGGAACTGGATGACAGGCAGAGATTAGAACAGTTTGGAGGACTCAAACTGTTGAAATGAGAGAAAATGAGATTTGGGAGGGCCCAGGGGTGAAATAATGTGGCTTGGCTGTGTCCCCATCTAAATCTCATCTTGAATTTTAGCTCCCATAATTTTCACGTGTTGTGGGAGGGACCTGGTGGTCGATAATTAAATCTTGGGGGCAGTGTCTTCATACTGTACTTGTGGTAGTGAATAAGTCTCATGAGATCAGAAGGTTTTATAAGAGGATTCCCCTTTTGCTTGGCTCTTATTGTCTCTTGTCTGCCACTATGTAAGACAGGTATTTGCTTCTCCTTTGCCTTCCACCATGATTGTGAGGCCTCCTCAGCCATGTGGAACTATGAGTCCATTAAACCCCTTTCCTTTATAATTTACCCAGTTTCAGGTATTTCTTTATTGGCAGCATGAGAATAGACTAATATAGGAACCCATGTAAAAAGTTGCTTCCTTTGACTCCTAGCACTATTAGTAGGAAACCAGCTTGAACTGATCTCAAGGGACAGGAAGAAAAGTTTTTTCCTGGTCATGTACCACCTGCCATCTGACCAGGCCACCTCCTTCTCCTACACCTATTTCATTACTTCTCATTATTCAGAGTGCAGCTCAAATTCCACCCTATCTAAGAAGTCATGAATACTGCAGACTACCACATAGCTAGAAACTTTGTTGTAACTTATCTTGGATTAGTCCCTTGAAAAACTGTTTTACTCCCAATTCTGGATTCTCCTGGGTTATGAAAGACAAAGCAGAGTTGAGCTGTGAAAGCAGACATGTAGTTTTTGCCTCCTGATTTGGAATCATACAGAGGCATCAGGTTCAAACTCTACCAATTACTGGCAGGGTGACACTAGGAAAGTCATGTCACCTTTTTGAATCTCAGAGTTTTAATATACAAAATGGAGATGATATTAATTGGCAGCACTGCCATGAGGTCAAATGAAACACTGGATTTGCAAGCATTTTGTAAAATGCCACAAGGGCTTTTTGGAGCTGCAAAAAGTGTTCCTCAAGCATTTCAAGTCCCTGAATGCCACGGAGCCGCTTTCCTGGTGACTCAAATCACTCCTCTAAACCCCTGACCATGGAATATTTACCTTTTTGGAACCACCTACATGGATTTCCTCTCTTGGGGCCTTACAAATGTTGGCTTTCCCAGGACAAGGGCCCTATCATGAATGACTAATTCCTGTATTTGAGCATACATGATTTCTTTTTTTATTTATTTTTGTTTTTGAGATGGAGTCTCACTCTGTCACCCAGGCTGGAGTGCAATGGCAAGATCTCAGCACACGGCAACCTCCACCTCCCGGGTTCAAGTCATTCTCTGTCTCAGCCTCCTGAGTAGCTGGGATTACATGCGCCTGCAACGATGCCCAGCTAACTTATTTTTGTATTTTTAGTAGAGATGGGATTTCACCATATTGGCCAGGCTGGTCTTGAACTTCTGACCTCAAGCGATCCACCTGTTTTGGCCTCCCAAAGTACTAGGATTACAGGTATGAGCCACTGTAACTGGTCAAGCACACATAATTTCTGATTAGAAAGAAGCTGGTTATTTGCCCCCAAGTGAAAAGAGACCCAGCATAGAGACCAGGCTAAAATGAAAATAAATATTTAGACCCACTTATTGGTGATCTTTTTCTCAGGAATGGACAGGCCTGAGTCTGGACCAAGAAAACCAAGTGAGGGAAGTCTGGCAAGAGGGCAACCGAGCAGGAGGCAGAAAACAAGAGAATTCAAGCCACGTGTCATTAAACTTTTCCTGTGGGCCTCAGTTTGCAATTCCTAAACAAAACAAAACAAAAAAAAAGGAAACAAAAGTTTTTAAAAAGTCTTAACTTCATGATACATCTCCCTGGCCAAAAATCTCTATGTGGTGGCTTCCACAAAACAGGCCTAAGTTGCTATGACTATAAACCTGTTTCTGAGTGGCAATATTCAAATTGGAGGGTGGTGGTAGTAAAAGCTAAGCCAGTAGGCCAGATATACCCAAAGCTTGCATTCTCAGCTATTATTGCTCACCAGAGTTTAGCCACAGATCTGTAGCCTTATGTGTCCAAACACACTTGCTCCCAGACAAACTATACAGGGACACAGACAGACACTGAAAGGCAGATATCTATACATACCCTCAGCAAGGAGATACAAAAAGGCCGTAGACTCAAACACATACAAAAAGGCATCAGATGTCAAAACACCCAAAGATACACTCAGACAAAAGAATAGACAGATAGATAGATAGACAGATAGACACAAGCACACACAATAGACAATTAAAAATATCACATTGTAGTTCATGCTCAGGGACATCCACACATTCACCAAAGAAATACTTTAATAGGTGTGCCATGGGCAAAGATGCATAGATAGACATATGGACAGACATGCATGTGCACAGAGATATACCAAGAAAGCTACACTTATAAAGGTCCGTAGAAGTGCCCAACAGACAGGGATATAAAGACATCAAGATAAAGAAGCCTGCTAACATTGACCTCCCAAGCACTAGCTTTTATATCTCCATTTATAAAACATCTTCTCCAAAAGAATGCCCATAAATATGTCACCAGTTAGCTCTGAAGATGATCATGAACCCAAAGAATGTAATAAAAGCAAACCAAAGTACTCAGAGTTTAAAATTTCACAGCTCCTCCATCTGCCACAGCAAAGGCAGCCAAAGAAAATGGCAGCAGCAAGCTGTATGGAAGCCATAAAAAGTACTTGATTTATCTCATGTAAAAATTAACCTCAGGGAAAAATTGTTAATGCTCCCAACTTTTATGCAGCCATAAAATGGCTCAAAAACCTGTTTTAAAAATGGCTTCCATTCCACATGGTGGAAGTTTCAATACTTGCAATATGTCTAGGAAGAGAGAAGCTTAGAGGAGATAAATGGTGCTGGAGAACAGGCAAGTTCCAAAGAAACTAAGAAAGGGGTCTTACTTCATTAACTGCCTTGTTTCCTGATCCCTGGGGCTTCCAGTATTCACCAATGTTCTTGTGGGTTTCTAGCATCTTGGAGCCCTTGTCCAGGTTACCTGTGGTGAAAGAATACTCTTTAGGTTGAGACCAAACTTAAGCTCCTTTGGGAGAAACTTGGTTGCTGATTACCCTGGTCCACCTTGCAGAACCACCAGGACTGGGGTGGTGGAGCATGATAGGGAAGGGTATACTCATGTAAGGCCAGCAACAGAGAGAAAGAGGGCCAAAATTAGCCAAGAAGAAATCCATAACCAGTATTTGAAGTATGCTGGGCCTTGTTCCATTGCTCAGGGAATATCTTGGAAAAAGAATAACCTCAGGCTCCTGCCTGGAATTATAAAGTAAGAATTCCAGTTCCTAAAAATTCTCTATTATCTGAAGTCTTAGGTGACATAAAGAGCCTGGTTAATTAAAATATAAAAACATTGGCAAAACCTTGTTTCCACCAATAGCTCTAATTGTTTGCCCTTCCCAACACTTCCCCAGAGCAACATAAACAGTTCTAAATTTTCACCCCTTTCTGTAACTCACCCATTAAAAGGAAATGTGAGCAGTAGATGCATCCGAAAACCATGTAGTAAGAAGAAAAACCAATGATGTTTCTAATCAGACCCAATTAGAGAGTAAAATCTGTGTTCCTAGAACAGCCAAACAGCAATGCTTCCATTTGCAAAATAAGGATACGAAGCCTCAAAGGAGGGGAATGATTGGAACTGACTAAACATCCAAAAATTATATTGTAGTCATAATGTGATACACACAAACACACACAGAAATTCAGCAACATAACTCAGGTCTCCTGACACCTGGCTCAGTAATCAAATGTGGCTAACTGCTACCACCAACAGAAAAATACTCAAATAAGAGTAAAAATACACCAGCTCTTCTTACCTGCTCAGAAACCAGTGTCCTAGTTAAGATTCGATCCAGTGGTGTTAGAATCTTCTACATGTATCCTAAAACCCTCTAGATCAAGACCAACTCAGAGCCACCCCTATTGGGAGTGACATAGCCTCAGTGGGACATGATTTCAATGCCTCTTCCTAAGCAGGCTTCTGAGTCAGCCCAGTCTCAAATTGTTTGAGTAGAGTACAGCCAATATGTGAGGTGACATGTGTGTGAGTATGATTGCAGAGGGGATGTTTCTGGGATCATGTTTTGTTAGGTTTTTCTTAAATATAAGAACCACTCCTACTTCATTTGGAAAGCAAATCTTAAATCTTAATATTGGTATCAACAAATATTCATGGACTATAAACTATGTGCCTATCCAGCCCAGGCCTAGATAGGCATAAGGCATGCTCCTATCTCCATCTCATTTATTGTTATTGTCTTTAGTATCATTGCCATCTGGTTGTATAGCACCCCAGAGCTTATAAGGCACTTTTAGTTTGTTAGTTCTTTTTAGCCAACAGTATTGTCTGTGAGGTATAAACTATTAAGCCAAGGTTATAGGTAAGAAAACTGAGGCTCAAAGAGGTAAAGTGACCTGTTCCTGGTCATACAGATAGTAAGAAGCACAGCCAAAATTCAAATCCAAGCATGCCTGACTTCAAAAATGTTGTCCTTTCCAGCACCAGATTGTCAGAAGGCAAACTCCACTGACTTCTCTATTTTGCTGAATCAATGTTTGTCAAATGAGCAAGTGAGTGAGTCAGTTAATAATTAGAAGCAGCAGCTCACATACTATGGCAGATTCAGTTTAGCCCCACAGTGAGAAAAGTTCTTCGGCATATGGAATTGGTGGAGGGCAGCGGGGAGAAGAAATAAACTGCTATTGCTGAGTACTCCTGTGTGCTAGGAACTGTGCTAAGAGCATCAATAGATTCTATTTCATGTGAAGATGTTATGCAGCATCCCATTCCTCAAATTGAGAAACTGAGGTCCAGAGAGGTTGTGCAAATTGCCCGAGGTTGCAGAGCAAATATTTGAACCTGACTCTGTTCAACCCCAAAGTTGATCCTCTTTCCACCATACTGGTCTGCCTTGGAAACCTCCAGATTAAAAGCTTAGAGGGAGGGGCTTGTAAGAGTATGTGTAGAATAAGGTAGAAGAACAGAATTTGAGCTAATCATAACATAAATATGATTCTTGGATCCCATAGCCAGGAGGGTCAGAGATATAAGAGCTACATGACAACTCTGGCTTTCCAAATGGAGTCCCGATGCCATCCTCCTTCCCAGGAATATTTTTAATCCCTTAGTTGGGACCTTAACAATCAGAGCTGCAACGTGAGTGCCACTTATATCCCAGAGGTGAGAGTGGCTGAGTGGCTGCTGAGGTGATGGCAGGACATGAGTCAATCTCAGGGATATATTTTCCTACCCATGGCATATAAATAAGCCCAGAGAAATCACTGGGATAAGGACTATTAGCCCCATCTCTGCAGCTCCCCCACCCCATCGTACCAGGAGCTGTCACCTGCTTCTGACAATCAGAAGGATGGTGGACAGGACCTATCTGATTCACTTGGCAGTGGAATGGTAGCAGTTGCTCAAAAGCCTTCAAACTGCCAGGTGGTAGGTCCACTTACTTAGGGGAATGGAGGGAGAAGAGGAATAGCTGTGACTATATTCCTTCTATTAGATCCTCCCAGCATGACCTCCTAGGGGATTATGAGAGCGCGCCTTATCCTAACGCAGGGGAATTAGAAAATATGGCAGACATCTGCTGCTGCCTTGATGTCTTGATTTGCACCTACCACCTGCAGTCTTCTTAGGGGACAGCAGTGGCTGGCAATTCCAGATGAGATTGAATGGAACCTGAGGCTTGGTATCTCCACATTTAAGACTTGGTCTAGGAGTGAAGTAAAATCACATTCTGGCATGATGAAAAGTCATGAGGTTGAAGCCCTGAATCACAACTCTGCTATAATTGACTGAGTGATCTTGGACAGGTAGTCCCATCCCATGTCTGATCCTGTTTCCCCATCTGCAAAATAAGAGGACCACGTGACCTCTAAGTGCTCTCCTAGTTCTGACAGTAAAGGATTATCTCCCTGTCCTCAGAATTCTTTTTGTTCTTACTGCCTCCCTAGTTTCTGGGGATTTCTTCCGGGGATTTCTGAGGAAAATGATGCCACAGAAGACTGAAGCCGTGATTTATTTGGCTCCTACCTTCCTGGAATGCTGGGAAGGAGCCACTGGGTTGGAGATAAGCTCTGAGTCAAAGCATCCCACATGTCCCTCACACATGGAGTAAGAAGAATAAAGAAAGAAATAGGAGGAGGAGAAGCAGTTCCAGAAGAGCTACAAGTCATTCAGGGCTAAGGCAATCTTTGAGGCATGGAGAAATAAAACTGGTGCTCTTAGAAACTTTGGAAAGAAACCTTTAGAAAGGAATACTGTGAGGTCCTGAGAATCACAGCATTCATGCAAATTGTGTTGCTGTAAAAGGGCCTAGGAGCAGTTGGGATGTGGTGTAAGGCAAAGGGATCCAAAAGCATGGATTCCTTCCATTTGTGGCAGAAAGTAGTGTTTGTAAATGACAAATATTTGGCAGGCAGTGGCCGTGGGCTGTCTGAAAGGACATACTCTGAAGTTCTGGGGGGTAACTGAAGTGTTAAGTGTCTGGATTTTGAGTGCTTTAAGTGAAGCTGCCTTGAGCCTTGAGGAGCTTTCCATAGCTGATGGTCATTGAATGGGGCAGGATTTGAAACCCAAAGAGAGCACATCTGTGTAAGATAGAAGAGAAACAGTGTTAGAATGACCCCATGTGGGGTTTGCATTATGGGACTAGTCCGTTTGAGGCCTGCAGGGTGTATATAAGATCACTGTGAAGAGGGTGAAGAGTAGCAACTGGTATGTATGAGTTCTGAAAGCATGAGGTACAGAGGGCCTGAGGGGGAAAAAAGGCCTATGAGACTTTGAGAAGAATAGGATATTTGAGTGCTTTGACTTAATAAGTACCCCAATAAGGATACTTGCCTTTTAAAAGAAGAGCATGGAGAGGTCAAAGTCTATACCAAGGCATTTCGAATAGTGGATTTTCAGGCTTTAATGAGAAGCAGTACTGGGAGATTACAGGGTGGGGAAGAGGATAAATTCAACACAGACTATGCATGAGGCCTGTCTAGCATGTCCTACCATAGAAACCATGGCATAAAAGGCATACCACGGCAAAGCATCATAGGTCTCCTCCAGCCTACTTGGTCCAGCTCCATAGGGATACTTTGTGAGGTGGGCAGAGAGTGGCATTTTTCCAGAAGGATTTAAGTGGCAGAGTCCTTGGTGATAGTTCAGCTGTGGGAGAGAAGGCCTGCAATGAAAACCAACCAGAATTAGTTACTCAGTGGAGGTGGGGAGCAGGCCAACACATGGATTAAAAAGCAAAGCTTCCAATTTGAAATATTAACTGGTCCAGTCCCCAGATCCTACCAGGGTTAACGCGTATCATCAGTAAATGCAAGCAAAGGCCCAATTACTAACAGCCTAAAAGACATCAGGCAGTGGAGCAAATGTAAAGTAGGCAATTGATTTAAGAAAAAAAGGGTAATATCTAAATCACACAACTAGTAAATGGTATGTCTGTAAGACTACAGATCTACCATGGTGCATTTCTGGACAAAATGAATAGCTGCTGGGCCCCTACATTCTTCAAATTCCTTCTCAACACTCCTAAGTCACTGTGGACACAGTACAAATTTCTTCCACCTATATCATTCATTCTTCAAAGAATTGTATGTGGGGAGGAGTTAACAGTTTGTGTAACCCAGAGAAGGGTTCTGCACAGATGCTAACCCAATTTCTAAGGGCAGAAACCAGTCAGTTTATTCTTCTGAACAGTAAAAGTCACTTGGTTATACTGCAAATAGAGTTGCAGAAGGTATAAGAGACTGTACTGAATCTATGAATTTTAAGACAAGGTCTCAAAATTGCTTTTTTATCACTCCTCCTAACCGTAACTTATTTACCTTGTCTCATAGACATATTAACTGTTGGAGCTGAAAGCCCCCTTACAGGTTGTAAAATCTAACCCACTGATTGAACAGATGGTAAAAAACAAACAGTTGAGGCTCAGCAATGGAAGGGACTGGACAATTAAATTATTTTGATTTGAGGTAGAAGGAATTTTACCAAGCTTTGACTAGAATTATGTGCTTTCTTTTAAGAAATCAAACTTGACTTATAGAGTCAATAAAAGCCCTTTGGGGCTGAGCATGGTGGCTCATGCCTGTAATCCTAGGACTTTGGGAGGCCAAAGTGGGTGGATCACCTGAGGCCAAGAGTTCAAGACCAGCCTGTACAACATGGTGAAACCATATCTCTACTGAAAATACAAAATTAGCCCGGCATGGTGGTGCATGCCTGTAATCCCAGCTACTTGGGAGGCTGAGGCAGGATAATCGCCTGAACTTGGGAGGTGGAGACTGCAGTGAGCCGAGACCACGCCATTGCACTCCATGCTGGGCAACAAGATTAAAACTCTATCTCAAAAAAATTTTTTTAAAAAGCCCCTTGAGAAATTTGGCATTATACCTTGTCTACACAGTCCTTGTACAGTGTTCCTAACCTGTGGTAAGTAAAGAATGTGACACCGTGATGCTTTACCCATTTTGGACTTTCTCTTGTCAAGTTGTTACTGAGCAGCTTGGCTTCAAACTGCGTTTACAACATTTTTTTCGTCCTTTCACCTAGTGAGAAAAACTGCAGGTGTGTTTTCTCTTGTCTTGAAATACAGCCTTGGAAGGTGCTCTAACACTCTACCTTATGCTCCCATGCCTTATGCATATTTGTTTATCTGGAAGCTTGTTAAGCTCACATCATGCTCACTTATCTGGTCATATATTTCCTTAGGAATCTTCAGGGGCCAGATCCTGATGCAACGAGGCACCTCCTGAATTCTCTCTCCAATAAAAGATTACTTCAAGACTGGAACCCACTCCCAGGTACAGACTGACTACAAAATTGACTGTGATTAATCTGTAACCTGGTAGGGCCCACAATGGCACCAGTCCCTACATCAGATGAAACAATAATTCAAGATGAACCATTGGAGCAAGTCACGTCACCTGGCACCTCCTAGCATCCCCTGCCTCTTCTGCATTCCAAACTCTCTCTTTAAAAACCACTGCATTCCCTCCACAAATTGAAAAGTAAAATTTTTTCACTCACTTTTCCCCTTGCTGGCATAGAATAAAATCTCACTCTTTTTCTATCACATATTTTGACTTCTTTCAACAAGTGGTGAGCAGTCAAACCCTTTTGCCACTTATTAAGTGACTTTGAGGGTCTGGAGAGCAGAGCCCACCACAGAGGGGCAGCGTTGCTCACTCAAGAAGCCCCCTGCCCAGCCCTTCCTTGCACTCTAACAGAAATTGACTAGGAAGAAGGAACTAAACCCACCCAGAGTGTGTGGGATTACAAGAGGGTAGGAAAAGAGAGGCCTGAATAGTTGACAATTTGAATGGCTAAATCTGACTATTGTGCCCTTCATAGTGCATAAGTTGTGCCACTAGATTTGAAATAGGCAGCAGGTAAGAGACTAGAGGAATTGGGCTCAATAATTCTCAAGAGACCCCAGAGTGGAATGAAAGGCAGTGTAGGTCTAGCAGCATGGGCCTGAGGTTCAGAACCTTGTGTCCTGATCCCACATATACAACTGATTCACTCTGTATGCCCTTAGAAAGAGCTTAATCTCTTCATCTGTGAAATGGAAACAAGAGCCACTGCCCTAGCTGCTTCTGAGTATGGTTATGAGTATTGTTATAGTTTGGCTGTATCCCCTCCAAATATCATCTTGAATTGTAGTTCCCATTATCCCTACATGTCATAAGAGGCACCTAGTGAAAGGTAATTGAAGTGAAAGGCAATTGAACAGCAACAGTTACCATCATGCTGCTGTTCACATGATAGTGAGAAAGTTCTTATGAGATCTAGTTTTATAAGATTTTATAAGAGGCTTTTCACCCTTTTGCACAGCACTTCCTGCCGTCATAGGAAGAAGATTGTGTTTGCTTCCCCTTCCATCATAATTGTATGTTTCCTGAGGTCTCTCCAGCAATGCAGAACTGTGAATCAATTAAACCTCTTTCCTTTAAAAATTACCCAGTCTCGGGTGTGTACTTTATATCAGTGTGAGAACAGACTAATACAGTAATGCATATCACAGAAAGTGGGGTGCTGCTGTAAAAACACCCAAAAATGTGTAAGTGAATTTGGAACTGGGTAACAAGCAGAGGTTGGAACAGTTTGGAAAGCTCAGAAGACAGAAAGATATGGGAAAGTTTGGAACTTCCTAGAATATTGTTGACTGATTTCGATCAAGATCCTGATAGTGATATGGACAATGAAGTCCAGGCTGAGGTGGTCTCAGATGGATATGAGAAACTTGTTGGGAACTGAAACAAAGGTGACTCTTGCTATGTTTTAGCACAGAGACTGGTGGCATTTTGCCCCTGCCATAGAGATCTGTGGAAATTTGAACTTGAGATAGATTATTTAAGGCATCTGGTGGAAGAAATGTCTAAGTAGCAAAGCATTCAAGAAGTGACTTGAGTGCTTTCAAAAATATTGTTTTAGGTATTCACAAAGTTATAGTTTGGAATAGGAACTTATGTTTAAAAGGGATGCAGAGCATAAAAGTTCAGAAAATTTGCAGCGTGACAAATGTGACAGAAAAGGAAAACCCCTTTTCTGAGAAGAAAATCAAGATGGCTGCAGAAATTTGCATAAGTAGCAAGGAGCCTAATGTTAATTGAGGAAAATGTCTCCAGGGCATATCAGAGGTCTTCATGGCAGCCTCTCCCATCAAAGGCTCAGAGGCCTAGGAGGGAAAAATAGTTTCATGGGCCAGGTCCAGGACCCCCCTGCTGTGTGCAGTCTGGGAACTTGGCACCCTGCATTCTAGCTGTGGCCCAAAGGGGCCAAGGTATAGCTCAGGCTGTGGCAGCTTCCCAAGTCATGGCAGCTTTGCAAGTCTTGGCAGCTTCCACATGGTGTTGGGCCTGCAGGTGTGCAGAAGTCAAGAATTGAGGTTTGGGAACTTCTGACTAGATTTCAGAGGATGTATGGAAATGGCTGGGTATCCAGGAAGAAGTTTGCTGTAAGGGTGGAGCCCTCATGGAGAACCTCTGATAAGGCAGGGCAGAAGGAAAATGTGGGGTCAGAGCCCGCCCCTCCACTCCCCATTGGGACACTGCCTAGCAGAGCTTTGGAAAGAGAGCCACCATCTTCCAGACCCCAAAATGGTAGACCCATTGACAGCTTGCACCATGCTCCTGGAAAAGTTGCAGACACTTAACACCAGCCTGTGAAGGAAGCAGAAGGGGACTGTAGTATGCAAACCCACTGGGGTGGAGCTGCCCAAGGCCATGGAAGCTCAATTCTTGCATCAGTGTTGACATATTGTGAGACATGGAGTAAAAGAAGATCATTTTGGATCTTTAGGATTTGACTGCCCCACTGGATTTTGGACTTGCATGGGTCCTGTAGCCCCTTCATTTTGACAAAGTTCTCCCATTTGGAGCAGGTGTATTTAACCAATGCCTGTGCTCCCATTGTATCTAGGAAGTAACTAACTTGCTTTTGATTTTACAGGCTCATAGGTGGAAGTTACTTGCCTTATCTCAGATGAGACTTTGGACTTGGACTTTTAGGTTAATGCTGGAATGAGTTAAGATTTTGGGGGACTGTTGAGAAGGCATGATTGTGTTTTGAAATGTGAGGACAATAGATTTGGGAGGGGTAAAGGGTGAAATAATATGGTTTGACTGTGTCCCCATCCAAATCTCATCTTGTAGTTCCCATAATACCTATATGTTGTTGGAAGGTAATTGAATCATGGTGGCAGTTTCCCCATGCTGCTGTTCTCATGATAGTGAGTGAGTTCTCAGGAGATCTGATGGTTTTATAAGATGCCTTTTCCAGAAAGTGAAACCCTAGTGGTCCAGATGAAGATCATGGTTGGGACTAGCTGGCCAAAGATGAAGCCTCAGAACAAAAACATGGTGGCGTGAATGAATCCACACACATTCTTCTACAACTTTTATAATAGACCAATCCTTTCTCATCAGAATACTGTCTGATTGTGCCACGAAGTGAAAATGAAAACAAAGGATTCCTCAAGTCCCATTTTGGTTGCAAAGATCTTTCAAAGCCAGGTCTATTCCAAGCCTCAATGCCACCCAGAGATGAGATTCTTCCATTTGTTCTGCAACTGGTAGCTGCATAGTGACCAGGAGTAGAAGGTCACCTGGTATATATTCTGGAACTGCTGTCTAGTGTGTGCCAGGAATGTGGTCAAGTTCTGGGCCGAGGACAGCAAGGTCACCCTGACCATCTTTGTGGCTTGCCTCTACTAATTCTGGGACCCACAATGCCAGGAGGAGCTTCACAGACTGTGTCAGAAAAGAGACAGTTTGTATGCCACAATGAAGATCATGAATTATGGTGAATTTCAACAGTGTTGGGACAAGTTCGTGTACAACCAAAAATTGTACAAGCTTTGGAATAAACTGTCTAAACATTATACATTACTGCACATCACATTGGGGGAGGTTCTCAGACACCTGATGGATCCAGGCACATTCACTTACAATTTTACCAATGACCCATCGGTTCCTGGACAGCAAAAAACCTACCTGTGTTATGAGGTGAAGCGCCAGGACAATGGCACCTGGGTCTGGCTGGACCAGCACAGGGACATCATACTCAATGGGGTTTCAAATAATCCCGGTTTCCCTGAAGACCGCCATGCAGAGCTATGCTTCCTGGACCTGATTTGCTTTTGGAAGCTGGACCTGTCCCAGTGCTACAGGGTCACCTGCTTCATCTCCTGGAGCCCCTGCTTCAGCTGTGCCCAGGATGTGGCTAAATTCTATCAAGAGACCCCACACATGAGCCTGCGCATCTTCACTGCCTACATCTATGATTATCAACAGGGATATAAAAAGGGTCTGTGCAGGGTGGACAGAGCTGAGGCCCCAATTTCCATGATGAAATACAATGAGTTTAGGCACTGCTGGGACACCTTCGTGGATCACCAGGGATGCCCCTTCCAGCCCTGGGATGGACTAGATGAGCACAGCCAAGCCCTGAGTGGGAGGCTGCAGGCCATTCTCCAGAATCAGAGAAACTGAAGGATGAACTTCTTCCAAGAAATGCAAGCAGGCTGTTCACCACCATCACTAGCTGATCACAGATGCCAGCAAAGCAATGCGCTCCTGACCAAGTAGATTCTTTTAAAAATTAGAGTGAATTAGCTTTAATCAAAAATTTATGTGATACAGTAGTAAGATTGTGCTCAATACACTCAGAAAAGTTTCAAATACACTATTCCAGTGATGAAATGAATTGGTTTTATATGTAGAGGAATACAATGAAATACTAAATATTTTCATATATTTTTCCCTCTGTGATTATATCATGAATTGCAAGTGTTTACATAAATACTAGCAAATGTGAAAAAAGAAAAAAGAGGCCTTTTCCCCTTTTGCTCAGCACGTCTTCCTGCCATCATGTGAAGAATGTGTTTGCTTCCCTTTCACCACGATTTTACATTTCTTGAGGCTTCCACAGCCAGGCAGAACTGTGAGGCAATTAAATGTTTTCTGGGGGGATCAAATGAGATAACAAATTTAAAAGCATATAGTGAGTGCTCAATATAGCTGCATCTTTTTCCTTCCTTAAAAAGAAAGTAGAGGAGACTTTCTATTTCCAGTCGTCAAATGAAGAAAATCAACAGTTAAACTGATTAAAATCAAAAGTCACATATCTGGTAAAGTACCAGAGCCAGGACTTTGAAACTAAGCTTTCCGACTTCAAGTTCAATATTTTTTCTCCCATATGTCATGCTTCAAGTTTCTCATCTGTCATATGGAAATGATAATAATAATGATAACTATAATTAGTTTTGCAAATCAATTCATATATGGGAAAGCATTCTGGATAGTATAAAGTCCTGTACAAATCTAATGAATTCTTATTATTATTCCACTTCCTCAACTTGTATTCCACCAAATTCTCACTAAATAGTTAGCTAAGGATAGGATTGAGGTACAGTCCCTTCCTGCAACATCTGCTTTTAACAACTAGTGCAAATAGCTAACATTTATTGCACAATGACTCTTGGCCACACGCTGTTATAGGTACTTATGCGTATTTACTCATTTCATATTCACAACCCTATAGGGTAGTTATTGATATTATCTTCATTTTAAAGATAGTCCTTGACTCACAGAGTAGTTGTGATGATGAAATACATTCACATATGTAAAATGCTCACAGCAATGCCTAGGCACACCATAAGTACAGTGTAAATGTTGGCTCTAATTACTGGTATTACACTCCTCATTTTCCGGGTGCAGGGAGTGAGGCATGGAGAAATATTAAGACATCACTGACCCTTGGTAAGACCTCATCTCTGCCCTCTGACATCATCCCCTTAAAACTGTGCCCTCTGTTTGGCTAAGATAGCAGCCCCATAATTGACCACAGCCAAATCTGGACCAAATAAATCACAAGTTCAAGAGCTATTTAGTTCTGGGGGGTTGGATGACTGGATCTCAAAAATGAAGCACCCCAGAGGAAGCCTGCCAAAGCCCAGTTTCCCTGTAAAACAGAAGGACCTGAGTCTGCTTGGCTTACTAGGTTTTTCACTTCCATTTGTATATAATAATCCAATACAATCATGTGGACTTTGCTGCTTAACAATGCATTGTTTTCATATCGATTATCCCAATTCAGCCACAACAGACCTGCGAGGTGCCTGAGCTGAAGATGAGAATTTCCAGCTGGCTAAGAGGGCACCAAAACCCAGAAAGAGAATAAGATTTGTGTCAGAGCCCACGTTGGAACGTTCAGATCCTACTTGCCTCCCAGTTTCCGTGTGTCCAAGGAAATCCCTTCCCTTCAGGACTGTGTCCCTATCATCTGTAAAATGAAGTGACTGGACAAACAGGGCACCTGACCCACATCGATGTCCCTTGACATTCAGGACCTGACTGGTATTTAATATCTCAAGGAAAGCTATGCAGAATCTCCTTGAAACCACCAGAGGGCACAGGAAGCCTGCAGAGGAGAGCCAGTAGGAAATGCATTAGGCTGAACCAAGGTGATCAGTTTCCCACTGAACATAGATAATTACAGGTTTATGTGAAAGGAAAGAACTAGAGAAAGTCAAGGCATGAAGAACCTTAGAAACTGATCCTTCAAATGGAAAAACTGAGGCCTAGAGAAAGGAAATAGCTAGCTGGAGGTCACAAAGCAAATCAGGCTAAAGAAAAGACTAGAATCCAGCGTTTCCTGATTTTCAGACACAGTTTCTTCAATTGCATCAATCTGCTGCTGCAACAGTACTGTTTTGAACTGTTTCTCTGTTGTTCACATTTATTTATAATTTACCATGTTTCAATAATAATGACAACTGGTGCCACATTGTAGTCCCACAACATGTTATGAATGGTACTAGGCTGGGTAGCTTACATGCAATGGATCTTTAGATCCTCACAAGGGCCCTCTTAAGTAGGTAGTATTTAGCCCCATTTCACAGATGAAAGGGCAAGTCACATCCAATCCTTTGTAATTCCAAAACCTGTGCTTTAAAAAAATCTACAATTTATCTCTGTGTCTAGTCCATAGTAAGGTGATGTGCTCATCTGTGACCCTCTTCCTGGCCACTGGTAACCTTGGACATGTAGTGCCCAGCTACAAGTATCAGCTAATGGAGTCATTACATGTGTTTGTTTGATTATTGGTCTTAAAAACCTCTGCAATAACATTTACTCCCAACCATATTATGCCAATTTTTATGTCCTTAAAGCTTACCATAAATGATATAGAAAGAGAATGCTCATAAACATATTAATATCCTTTCAGAAAAAGCAGGCTTATTACTACTGTCCTAATGAAGCCCAAGTTCTCTTAGAGTGAGATGTGAGAGATGGCAGGGACGTGTCAAGAACTACCATGGTAATCCATCCACCCACACACTGCTACCACCAAGAAGAACTTTATGCTTAAAAAATACTTGGCCCTAAAATAATCTGGAGAAACAATAGTATTATAGCATATTCCCTCATAAAGACACCCATAATTCTCAAAGCCAGAGAATCCCTTCTAGTATTCAACATTCCTCCTACTACAGTTCTACCCTATTTCTTTTTGTCCTTGAGTAAGGGTGTGGTAAATGGCTGCCCATCATCATTAAAATTAAACCCCATGAAAGCTAGACTTAGACAGTCTAGATAGAATACTAGGCTTAGACTAAAAAGTAAATACCCAAATTCGAACCCAAATACTGTCATAATCTGTATAATTTTGAATAAGTCACTCAACGTCTTTGAGCTTGTTTCCTTGCTGCTAAAATGAGGATAATCACTCCTACCTCACAAGGTTACTGTAAGCATTAAATAAAAACAATGTACATGACAGAAAGCTACACTAAATGAATGCTGGGAGAAGAATGTTAGTGGGCTGTCCTAGGACTACATTTTTCAGGTCAAATAACACAGAATGTTGTTACTGACACAAATACAGATATCCTGACACCCACCCCAGAGGCTTTCCTTGACTCCAGTCTCTGCATCTAGCTGATGCTGGAGGGTGAGGGCAGGGGGCCAAAGCCAGAAAAATGCCTCACCACCTAAGGAAAACAGGAGGTCATGGCTGTCTTTGACATCATTAAAGAATCATAGTGACTCTCCTTCTACTCCCAGAGCTTCAGGTTTCTGTCCATGGCTGAACTGAGGTGTGAATATAGGAACTCAGCTCCAAGAAGAGGCAAAAGTCACCCAGGGTTTTAGGATCATTCAAATCTCTTGCAACTGACTACTGGGAACATTTCTTTTGAGACATTTCTGGCTGGAGGTGGGTTGGGTGGGGCAGGGCATGGGAATTTAGCTGGCTTCTGGTGTCCTGAATTTCTGGGATCAAGTGAAATTCAGCCTCCTAACATGCTGGCGTGAGCCACCGTTTCCAGCCTCAAACTTGGTTTAAAAAAAAAAAAAAGGAAAAGGAAAAACAGCCTTACCTGAGCACCACAGACTCCAGTGTAGGGCTCGCCGGCTTTGCCCTCTGCCTCTGCTTCCCCCATTTCCAACTGAGGCTCCTGGAGCTGCCTGGCCAGGTTGGACACCTCAGGCTCCCTACTAGCCTCTTGCCCCTTCATCTCGTTGAGCTTCTCCTCTAGCTTTTCCATGACAACCTCAGTGGTAAATCTCCTTGCATTGACACCCAGCTCAGGGGACTCCCTATCATTGTCATCTTCCTTGAGGAAGCTGACCACGGTGTCAGTGTCCTCCTCAAGCTCCTCAGAGGAGGAGTGCTCCCTGGTAAAGGTGCTGCAGTAGATTTGGCCACGACTGCCATGCCCATGGCTGTTCTGCTGCACTGGGTTGTCCTGGAACTCTAAGATGGCCAAGGTTGGGGAAGAGGTGGCAGCAATACAGGGACCCGCTAGGTCCTGGTCCAGCGTTTCTTTGCCCTCAATGCTCATCTCAAAAGTGCATAAGCTCTGTGAGAGCTTCAGGTGGCGGGGGTGTTGCCAAAGCCTTTCCAAGGTACTATTCCACAGTGAGGCCTCAGTGGCCTGGCAGGACAGGTTGAGTGGTAAGGAGGACAGGGAGGCAGTGCCCTCCCGGATGAAGCTATTGCTGCAACTGCTGAAGCAGGCCTCATGGTTGTGGCAGGACAACTGCGGCTCTTCACGGGTGAATGCCTGCCACTTGCGGGCCACCTCAACCACACTATTAAAGAATTTGATGATGACACCCAATGGTGCAGCCTTTTCTCGGCACTGGTGTTCAGGGTTCCCTTCAATGCTACCTTGCAAGTCTGCTTCCAAGGTGGAGTCCTCGATGGCAGCCTCAAATTTCAGGATTTCAGCATCATTGGCCCATGTATTGAGACCTTCACAGTCCCTGGGGAATAGGCTTTTCAGGTAGGTTCTGCCTTGCCTTTCACCCTGAAGCTGTTCAGGGACCTTCTCCTGCCAGGAATTGTCCTGCACATGGATGCTAAACTCATCAAAGGCCAGTACTTTCTGGTTCACCCTCTTGGAGGCTTGCCCAAGCCCCTGCACATCTGTGAGGAAAGGCTCCAAGCCCTTGATGGGGCCGGCATAGGAATGGCGGAAGGGCTTCAGGGCCTCCTCAGTCTTTCTGATCTGATAGATACCTGGGGCATCCTGCGCCTCCTGGATCTTGCTTGTCCTAGGGGGAGTGTATTTGAAGGCCCCAATAGAAGACTTCAGCCTCCTGAATGTCTTCATTCGATCCATGAACCTGAATTTAGGTTTCACTTCTGACAGCCTGGAGGTGTCTCCCAGTAAAAACATGGACTGGGGTCGCTTTTTCTGGCTGGAGGCCCCTTTTCTGCGGCTCACAAAATTCCAGATCTTGTTGACTTTGGTTTTCTTCTTGTTCCAACCACTCTCTTCACTGTTACTCAAGTCACTCTGGTCATACTGCTTAGATTTCTCCAACTCCTCCAGCCCTACCTCCCCAGTCAGGCCTTCTACCTCAGGGTGGTCCGGGATGACTTGAGCCAGGTAATCATTGGGTATCATCTCTGACAGAGAGGTAGTACGGCAGCTGCTGAGAGTCTCTGTGGTTGCAGCAGAGAGTGGGCTCAAAAAAGCACAGAGAGAGGGCTGGCCCTTTATTTCCAGCTGAAGGGGAGAAATAAGGACAGAGAGAAGGGAAGGGAAGGGGAGGGAAGGGAAAGAGAGAAGAAGAAAAAGAGAAGAAAGCTAAATTAGGCAAGGCCACAAACGGGGTCACTTACAGGTTTGTAATGATCAAATATATAAAACACACTTCAGCAATGGGCCACCAAATCTTTAGGGCCTTTATAGTACAAAAACTAATTTGCATTTTACTAGTTTAGAATCTGGATTGGAGGAAAGCAAAGCTTAACCTGTGTACCAAGGAAAGATTTGATTCTTATTTAAGTGCAAATACACTTAAGAGGGACACAACTTAAGGCTATTGTCAGACCCTAACAACTGAGCAGACACATTTTTTAAAAAGCAAATAATAATAATAATAATAGCTGAAGATATCTCAGAAATCTGTCACTTTAATCCTCTCATTTTACAAGCAGCCACTGGAGATCCAGAGAAGACACCTGTCTTGCCTAAGCCACAGAGCCAATGGAGCAGCAGGTAGGAATCATCCAGTCCAGGCTTTCCGTTCTCATTTGCTCCTCCATTCACTCAGGGAGCCTGCCTGAGAGAGCTCACCTATCAGATCACCTGCTCAGCACTGGCCCCTCAGCCAGGCACTGAACACCGCTGAGATGAGTAAGGCGCATGTGGCTAGTCACCTGAGCTCGTAGACTACTGGGAAAGCCAGGTGGATATAAACAAACAATTACAATAGAGCCTGGTAAGTTCGCTAATAGAGATATAAACAAGGCCCACAGAAGCTTAGAGCAAGTTGGGAGGGGATGTTGAACTGGGAGAGATGTGAGGGTTAGAGACAGGAAGACAGAGAAAGGACTGGGGCTCCCAGGAATGCTTCCCAGAATAGCCTAGACTAAAAATGGGAGCTCACTCATAGTAGAGGCTCTCTCTATCCAGTGTTCTTTGCCCCTCTGCCTTGAACAGCCTAAGAGCAGGGTTTGCCAAGAGAAGCAAAGAGAGGAGAGCAGGCACATTGAGCCTGGTGCCCTAAAGACAACATCTGCTTTCTTGGTAGCTTTGCCAAGAGCCAGTTGGCTAACTCAGAATCTACTAGCTCCTTCTTTTCTACTCTTCAAGGTTAACTTCACCTAACTTGGATCATGCCTTTACTCTGTGTCCTTTCTGCACTTACATAATAGCATTCACAGAATCTGTTAGACTTGGAAAATGTTCAAGTTAGAGGAGGCCAGAAAGATTATGTAGCTTGGAAAAATGGAATCAAAAGAGAGCAGAGACTTGGGTAAGGTCACACAGCAAGCCAGTGGAAGGTCAAGAACAGAAGCCTAGTCTTCCTGGCTTCCAGGCCAGGCAGAGACCTTACCTCTGTGCCACACTGCCACCCTTATCCAAGAGTTTTGTTTCCCCTAGTCTATTCCACTCAGGATAATAATAACATCCTAACATTGATAAGTGCCAGATACTGCACTAAGTTCTTTATTCATTTAGTTCTCACAACAACCTTATGAGGTGAACATTATTGTTGTTTCCATTTTAGAGATGGTTCAACTGAGGCAATGAAAGTTTAACTGATTTACCTAGGTTCTCCACACCCACTAACTAATAGTGTTGGGATTTGAATCCAGGCAGTGTGGCTCCAGAGGCCATGCCTCTAACCACTATGCAATACTCCCTTTTTAGAACAGGGCCTTTGCATACAGAGGCTGATTCATATACAAGTCTATCTTTCTGCCTGCCTTCTGACTTCTTTTGGTAGTACCAGGGCACAATGAGCTTCCTAAAAGGCATCTGTATGTGTTCTTGATGCCAGGGCCTAGCATGGGGCGGTGGAGGGGAAGGAGGATTTTGTGGAAGATGATCATTGTGCCTGATAACCTTCTTACAGAAAGCTTTCCTACACTAAGCAAGTGAACTGAGAAATCTTCCTTTTCCCAGTTCTCCACTTGGCTATAACCCTTCTCTCAAATAAGAATGTGACCTTAAGAGAGCCATCCTTAGCCTTTAAGTAAAACTACAATCAAAGAGAGCTTTGAGATCCCCTAGTCCACTCCACTCATTATTTCACAGGATGAAATTTTAGCACATAAATTTCAAGGGAAAAGCACATTATACAAAAAAATGAAAAAAAAAATTCATTTACAACAGCATTAAACACTACTTAGAAAGAAACTGAACCAAAAAGATGAAAGAACTGTACACTCAACAGTATAAAATATTGATGAAATAAATTGAAGAAGACAAAGATAAATGGAAAGATATCCATTTATTTGGATGAAAAGATATCCCACGTTCATGTACTAGAAGAACTAACATTGTTAAAATATCCATGCTGTTTAAAGCAATCTACAGATTCATTGAAATCCCTATCAAAATTTCAATGACATTTTCCACTTAAATAAAAGGAACAATCCTAAAATTCATATGAAACCAATGTAGATGATGGGTGATGGATGCAGCAAACCACCATGGCACGTGTATACCTATATAACAAAACTGCACATTCTGCACATGCAACCCAGTACTTAAATTATAACAAATAAATTTAAAAAAGAAAGCAGAGGAGAGAGAACAGGTAGGAAATGGCTGCCTGGGAGGCAGTGAGGAAGAATAACTTCCTGGAAAGGAGACTGGGGTCTCAAAGGAGACCAATGCCTGACTCATCACAGATCTGGATATGGTGGAAATTTCCCCCAACCTGGGTGGTCTTTCATCTTCCTAGGTCTTGACCAGGGGTTGACATTAACAAAGTCCTATCCATGGCCTGGACCTTGCCTATTTTGTCAATAAAGTTTTATTGGAACACAGAAAAAAATGAAATAAACCACAAAAGACCCCAAATCGCCCAAACAATATTGAGTGAAAAGAACAAAGCTGGAAACCTTACACTACCTGATCTCAAAATCTGCTACAAATCTATACTGATCAAGACAGCATGGTACTGACACAAAAACAGACATATAAACCAATGGAACAGAATAGTGAGCCCAGAAATAAGTCCACACTTTTATGTGCAAGTGATTTTTCAAGAAATGTGGTGGTAACACACAATGGAGACAGTTTCTTCAATAAATGGTGCTAGGACAACTGGATATCCACAAGTCAAAAAATGAAATTGGATCCTTATCTCACCCCATATACAAGACTTAACTCAAAATTGATTAAAGACTTAAACATAATACTTGTAGCTATAGAACTACTAGAAAAAAAATAGAGGAAAAGATTCATGACTTCCATCTTGGCAAACATTTTTTGAATATGAACCCAGAAGCACAGGCAACCAAAAGTGAGAAGAGGCACATTGGACTATATCAAACTAAAAAATCTTCTGTACAGCAAAGGAAACGATCAAGAGAGTGAAGAGAATTCAACAGAATAGGAGAAAATATTTGGGAAATACATTTCTTATAAGAGTTTAATGTCCAAAATATACATGGAAGGAATTCAAATGACTTAAAAGTAAGAAAACAAATAATCCAATTTTTAAAATGGGCAAAACACCTAAAAAGACATTTCTAAAGGAAGACATACAATATGGCCAACAGATAAAATGAAAGAAATGCTTAACATTACTAATCATAAGACAAATGCAAATTAAAACCACAATGAGATACCACCTCACATCTGGTAAGGTGGCTGTTATCAACAAGATTAAAGATAACAAATGTTGGTGAGGATTGGAGAAAAGGGAACTATTGCACACTGTTAATGAGAATGTAAATTATTACAGCCATTATGGAAAATAGTATAGATGCTCCTCAAACAATTTCAAATAATCTAGCAATTCTGCTCCTGGGTAGATATCCAAAGGAAATGAAATCAGTATGTCAAGATGACCTCTTCACTTCCATGTTTATTGCAGCATTATTCACAATAGCCAAAATATAGAATCAACCTGTGTCCATCAACAGATAAATGGAAAAAGAAATTGTGGCATATACACACAATGGAATACTATCCAGCTTTAGTAATACAATCCTGCCATTTGCAATAGCATGAATGAACCCAGAAGACATTATGTTAAGTGAAATAAGCCTTCAGAAAAGACAAACATTACATAATTATACTCTCCTCAACCTCCTGGATTCAAGTGATTCTCCTGCCTCAGCCACCCAAGTAGCTGAGACTACAGGCATGTGCCACCGTGTCCAGCTAATTTTTGTATTTGTAGTAGAGATGGGGTTTCACGCTGTTAGCCAGGCTGGTCTCTAACTCCTGACCTCAGGCAATCCACCCACCTCGGCCTCCCAAAGTGATGTGATTACAGCTACTGCTTCCACAGGCAGTGAGAGACAGAGGTAGGACAAGAACACTGGGTATTTGGTGCCAAGTCCAATGCCCACTGTCTTGCACCTGACTCCTTCATTAGCAGCTTTAGGTGGAATAATAAAAGATATGTGTTTCATTGCTAATTTCTACCTAGGTACTACTGCACAATACAATAATTGTTTTGGTCAGCAGATATTCATTCTCAGGCTCACTGGAATCTGAACACAGTTCTTCAAGATATCAAGCAGTCTTGCAATCAGCATTCTGTGGCATATAGTTTTTAAATGAGATAATGCCCAACACAATAAAAGTAATAATGACTAATATTTCTTAGCACTTACTCCAAACCAAACATTGGGCTGAGCACTTTCTTTATATGTATAATCTCATTAATCCTCATTATGCAGCTAGAAAGTATTATGATCCCCATTTTAAATGTGGCAAAGAAGGCTCAGAGTAGAGGTGGCTTGCCCAAGGTCACACATAGACCTAAGATTTGCACAAGGTCTGTTTAATATCAGAGCCTGTGTTCTTTAAGTACTGCCCCTCTAAGGATAACACAGTGCCTGGCACATCATATTACTCATTCATCAATTCCTATGATTGTTTTTGTTTTTTAAAATTTTTTATCAACATTTACCACTTATTGAATGCTTTCTTTATAGCAGGCATTGTGCTAATTACTTTCTTGAGTGTTAACCAGTTAACCTTCACCATCACACACTGAGATTTGTACTATTATTATCTTCATTTTGCAACTG